TAGTTCCCCGCGCGCCAGTGGGAATCCGTTGTGCCCAGGCAAACGCCCACCACTTGGCGGGCCGCGAATTTGTCCACGCGTGAGACAACACCGTCGGATAAGGCGTCGGCCTGAGGGAGCAAGCCATAAACCTGCATGCGTTCCACTCCACGAGGAGCGCTCAGGTCTTGCCAGCTTCCACAACTTGACCACGCCCTCGATGCCCGCCATCTAGTTTGCAACGGGCTGGATTCGACATCAGGAGGAAGCGGTAGAAGCATGGGCCCCGATCTCGGCTCACCGGCTCGCCTGGGGATAGCTGCCGGCGCGCGCGCGCCGCGCAGCACCGCGCGCTACTGGCCATCGGCCATCGACTTGGCCGAGCCCCACCCTGCCCCCCATAGCTCCTGACGGGGCGAATTGTTGCGCCATCCATCCATGAAGACGCCCCCGGCCAGCGCGCGGCCCGAGCCCAGACGCGCGGCGAAGCCATCGGATAACTCCTGCTGTCGCCAGGCCCCGCCCAACCCCGCCCTACATCCATCCGACAAAACTGCGCCGAACAAGTTTCATCCGGTCCGAGTGGCCTGGGCCGCTGGTCGCAATAGGCAAACAAGCCAGTCTCGAGCTGAGGACGTGGGGTGTGAGGACGTCGGCACGCGCGCCCCGCGTTTTGCGTCGGGGCAATGTTCCCTCTCCTTCTCGCAACCGCTGCACTCCAAAGAGCGACGATAGACGGCGTCGCCTGGTGGCCCGCGCACTGGGCGCAAATCCTTAGCCAGTCGCCGCAGCGCGAAAATGGCCGCGCCCCGCGGCAAGCCGCGGCGCGGACGCAGCCCAGGCCCAGGGTAGACAACTCCCAGGAGCCCAACCCCCCAAGACGACGCCGAAACATAGCAAGGAATGCGAAACACATGCGCCCCCCGCCCCGCGCCCCCCCGCCAGCAACCTGCGGGCGGACGCCCCAAGAGCCCTCTCGAAGAGGCCGGGGTGGGAAACAAGGGGTCAGAAGGCCTCCAAGGTCATCCTCGACCGCGAGGGGGCCCTCCATCACCCAGCCCAGGCGCGCGCGAAAGAGGGGGGCCCTCGGTGGACCACCAGGCGGGGCAGGGGCCCTCGAGGGTTCCCCCCCGAGACCACCTGGAAGAAACTCGAGAGAAAGCGCGCGGAATGAAAGCGGCGCGCCCGAGCCACATCCCTCGCAAGAACCACGACGCAGGGGCGGCCGCGCCGACCAGGTCGCCCCCCCCCCCCCCCCCCCCCCAACCTCAGCAAGAAGCACGGCGAGCGCTCGACCGCCGACGGCTTCAAAGCGCATCCCGCCATGCGCGCGGCGATCAGCAGCCCCCCCTCGGAAGCGCCGCTGATCTCGCGACCCCATTGCAGGGCGGGGGGGGGGGGGGCAGCGGCGAGCAAATTCATTCGTCCATCTGCATCAGATAGCTCCGCGCCTCGAGGCGACCTACTCGCTACTCACCACTCACTACTCACTACTCTCTACTCAATGCGCACTACTCACTACTCACTACTCACTACTCACTCCTCGCTATTCACGACTGTCTACCCCCTTGTCCTTACTCCCTGCTTCTCACTATGCACTACTCACTACACACTACTCACTCCTCACTACTCACTACTCACAATTCCTTACTCACTACTTCCTTCCCACTACTCACTACCCACTACCCACTACTCACTACTCACTAGCCACTACTCGCTACTCACTACGACCAAAAGCCATTACCCACTACTCACTACTCACGACTCACTGCGCACTACTCTATATCAAATACCCACGACTCACCAATCGCTACTCAAAACACTCTACTCTCTACCCACTATCCGAGAGGCCCCCTTCGCAGCCCCACGTTCGGGGCAAAGGCGGGGAGGGCGGGGGGGGGGGTCGACCCCCCCCCCCCCCCCCCCCCTTCCCAGCGCCAAGGTGGGGAAGGGGGGGTCCGGACCCCACCCCCCTCTCCCCCTCCCCCTTGCGGGGGGGAGGAGGGGGGGGGGCGAAAATCTCACCCCGCTTTGAAGGGGGAGGGAAGTCGGGGGGGCGGTCTGCGCCCCCCCCCCCCCCCCCCCCTTTGTGCGTTCAAGGCCATCCACTGGCGCGCTTTCCTAAACGACCCATGGGCCGTGCATAGCGCCAACCGTGCCGAAACCACTCGAAGCCCTATCCAAGGCCTTCGGGTCGGCGAGCACGCGCCCCCGCGCAAGGACCGCATGGGTCTCGCAAGTCCCCGGACAATCCTTCGCGGCAGTCTGCACGTTGCCATTGACAGTCGACACGCGCAGCCACAAAGCCTCAAGATTGGGGGCGGCGGCAGGGGGCCAAGGATGACCCGCTGGAGCGGGGGGCCGAAACTGACGCGAGGAACTGCCTGTGCCGCCTTTGCCGCGCGCGCAATGCCCGCCGCCTCACTGCGCAATTTCTTGCACCTTGCCTTGGATCTGCGCAGACAAAGCGTCACGGCGCGCATCAAACACCGCCTGATCCCCTGGCGACTATTCTCCCGCAGCAATAAAATTCCGAAATCGACGCTGAACGCGTCCACCGTGCCTTTCTGACGAAACTCCAGACTGATGGTTGGCACGATCTTGTTGGAGTTAGGCGCAGCTGCGCCTAAGAAATGGTCACACTCTTGGTCAGCTCCTCGTAGCTCTTGCCCAACTGCAGCAACTCTTGCGAAGCTGCGAAGCGCAATTGCTTGTGAGAAGCTGGCCCTCGAGGGCGGCGGCGCGCTTGATGGTCTTCTCCACATGATGGCCATGATTGGCCCGATCCCTGCGGCAACGCGCCAGCTGTTCCTCCAGAGCCACTGGGCCTGCGACGCGACCAAGCTAGGCCAACTGGGATCAGCACCTCGCTGCCTCCGTGACGTTGCCGACTTTCTGATGCAGGTCGCGGTGCGACTCCAGCTCCGGGCCCGACAAACCAGACCAAGCTTGCTGACGAAGATAGCCTCTGTCACGCATTGCATAATCATGCGAACGACGATAAAAAAGGGCCTCAGGAGGCATGGCATAGCGACATTTCGCGGTGGCTTGCGCGGGCAGCCACCACAGCACGCTACATTGATAACGAAAGCGCCGATGCGCGACGTGACGCCGGCAACGTACGCGCCAATGCCGGTGAAGAAGACCTCGCTGTCTGGCACAACTCATGCGGACGATTGAACAATGATGCACCCGCCTTGCTTGCCCACGTAGGGGCCACGGCAGAGGTGAGCGCAATGCTTGCAGAAACCGTACTTGGAGGGTTTCCGGCGACGGCCGCACGCCTTGGGGTCTGACTGAGCGCCCCCGCCGTCAGGACGACAAGACTGCAGACTGGGGGGGCCAGGCTGAGCCCCGTCTCGCGCCATGGCGCCACACCTAGTCCGTCCGTTGCCTTTTAGAGGTGGTGAGGACCAGCTGGCATGCCACGGCCGCCACGAGACCCTGCGTCCGCCTTTGCCTCCAGCGCCGCCGCCGCCAGATATGGGCCCCGACGCGAGGGCGTGATGGTAGCAGCTGCTCCGAAGGAGCCACGTGAAAAGAGGAGGGCTGAGATTTCTCAAACTGACAGAAGTAAGAATCGGCCCGCAACAACATCGCAAAATTGTTGAAAAGTGGTGTTGCAAACGTAGGCAGAACGCCTGAACCATAACGGCTTGAGCCAACATGGCTACGGAGAAGGAGGTGGAGGGAGAAGAGGTGGAGGCGCCAGCTCAGCCAGCCGACGCCAGCATGGCAGCGCCATGCAAACTTCTGGGGCCCCACCCGCAGCACACGCGGGCAATGAACCGCGCCCCCGCAGCGCGGCCAGCGGTGCGAGGGAGACATCGAGACACGCAGGAAAGAAAGCCTTGAGGACGCGAGGGAGGCATCGAGACAGGCAGGAAAGATGGAGAAACCAAAAGGTACCCATACTGGTATTCCCCAGACCTCTCCCGTGCTGCTTTCTGATCTGGATTCTGAGGCGAATCTAGCCGTTGCGACGCGGGGGCTCACGGGACGAGGATAACAGTTGGTGAGGATAGATCCAGAATCTCTGAGATGTTTGACTATGTCTCGGGCGCCGCTCTGCAACGGATTTCTCCTCGTCCTGGTCCCGTCCGAAGGAGGCCCGACGAGGTGAAAACGAGGGACGGGTCGCGGCATCGGTACCTTCAGACAGCCTTCGGCTCCTCGGGGTCGGCCAAGAGGGGGGCGTCCAAGAGGGGGGGTCACAAATCATGGCTGGCGGCAGGTGCGTGGCCCAAGGGGGGAGCCAGGGACGCATTGCAATAAGAAGAGGCGCCGCGAAATCTTGGGAGATATCATGGCCCCCGCCATGATATCCACGCCCCCTGGTCATCACCTCCAGTTGGCGGCGAGCGAGGAAGGGGGAAGTGAGAAGGAAAAGTTCTTCTCAGAAGGCGGCGGGACTTCTCGGAAGCCCTTGCACCTTCTGAGAGGTTTTTCGTTCTGTCTCCGGGGAAGGCTTAGACAACTTCTCAGAAAGCTGGGGGACTTCTGCGGAGTTGCCTAAGACTGCGCCGAAGACGGACACACCTTTCAGAAGGTGCGCGGGTATCTGAGAAGTCCCGCAGCCTTCTGAGAAGATCTTCTCCTCCTCACTTCCCCCCCTCACCTGGAAAAATTGTGGAGCCGGTGGCATCATATGTAGTCCTGCCGACGTGCGCCGGTGGGCGAGACCTTCGGGCTGATCTGTGCTTCTTCGATGACAGGTAGCCCTTGCTGACTTTCCATTATGATCCCCCCCCTCGCTCGCCGCCGAATGGCGTCCAAACGCATAGTCCTACCACGAAATGTTCTTCGAACCCAAATGTTCTGAGACCAAAAACACTGTGCTTAGAACATAAGCCCGATGTGCTTAGAACAAAACAGTCTCCGCCAGAAATGTTCTCAGAACATTTCGTGGGAACCACGAAAGGTTCTTAGAACATTGTTTGGTAGGGCTACAGGCGAGCCAGGACGCTTCGCCACTGCTTGACTCTTTGGCCGCCCCCGAACAATTCTTAGATCCCGGGGTCCTCCAGCGGCGTCGGGCCGCCCAACGCCACTTGCCCGGCGGACGCCGGCGCCGCCGCGGGGGCCGGCGCGGGCGCCGCCGCGGCGGCGGCGGGCGCCGGCGCGGGCGCGGCTGCTGGCAGCGGCGGGGTCTCGGCCGCTGTGGGCGCGGGCGCGGCGGCGGCGGCCGCGGGCGCCGCTGCTGCCTCGAGCCGTGCCAGGGGGGGCAGCGTTAGGCGAGGGTAGCCTCGAGGGGAGCCTCGAGGGGAGCCTCGAGGGGAGCCTCGAGCGGAGCCGAGGGCGCCGCCGCAGCCTCGAGTGCAGCCATGATACTCACGCACGTTTACTTGCATGGCATTCCCCTCCCCCACAGCCGTTTCAGGCAGCGCTGGGCCGAAGGGGCGTGCAAGGGCACGCCTCCCCCCCCTCCCCCCTCCCCCCTCCATGCAAGAACAACTACCTACCCAGGGGGGTATCGTCAGAGGGGGGCGGGCTCAGGGCGGGGGGGGCGTCGAGCTGGAACCCGCGAGACGTCGACGATAGATCGGCGATATGCCCCCCGACGAGGCGGAGGCGGAGGCAGAGGAGGACGAGGAGGACGAGGAGGACGAAGAGGAGGAGGAGGAGGAGGAGGAGGAGAAGGAGAAGGAGGAGGAGGAGGAGGAGGAGGACGGTCCTGGGCGGGCTGGGCTCTGGGCTCCCTGTCGGTGTAAATGGTGCTCGGGGGGTCGCTGCATTACCCCCCTGAGCGGTGGCCCCCCCGACGCTGCCCGGGAGCAACTTGAGTGGCGGCTTCGGTGGCTGACTTATAAGTGGCACTTATAGGATGGTGAACCCTGTTTATAACATAGGCAAGTAGCACTTATAAACCTGCAAGCCTTCGGAAACAATTTATAAGTTGCGCAGCGACATATAACATTTTTGCGACAGTTTGGGGCTGTTGCGATTATGTTTATAAGCCGACAATTCAATGTACAGGCTACTTGGTGCAACCCGTGTTATATTTATTTGGGGAAATTTACAGAATTATAGGAAGAGTTGTGAAAAGATATGAAAAGTTATGAAAAGTTATGAAAAGATGGGAAACATTAGGGTTCAGGTGTATTCAGTAGGTCTAGACCGCACGTTGCAGACGTTTGTTGAGCCAGTTCGCAGCATCCTCCTCATCTGTCTCCTTCCTCTTTCATCCCCGTGAACCCCCTTATTTTTCGTCCTTGATAGCATCGTCGTCGCTTGCCCATCGTCGTCGTCGTTGTCTTCGGTTTCCTCTCCCCCCTTTCTCCCGCCGCCAGTTTCCAGTTGGTTTCCTTTTCCTCACTCTCTTTTTCCCTCCTTCCCCTCCTTCCTCTCTCCCCCCAACCCTCCAACCAAGCCATCTCAAGTGCACCGCTGATGCAGGCGAGCCTGTAGGGTGGCGAGCCAACCCGCGATGCCGAGAGAGTCGTGTAGGGTGGCGAGCCAACCCCGATGCCTGTAGGGTGGCGAGCCAACCTGGCGTTTTCCATCGGGGGAGAGGTCCTCACGCAGTGGAAGGGCGGGCGCGTTTGCAACCCCGAGCCTTGCTCTTTGGGGCAAGCTTGGGCCGCGCAGAGAGCGCCCGGGCAAGAACGTTGCATTCGTCGGGCACGCGATGCGATAAGTCAGAGGGCCACGCTTGCAAATCGAAACCGTTGGATATGGCAGTCTTAAGAACTTGTATCAAGGGGCAAAGTGCCGCGATTACAACAGGCACAGCGTACGCATTACCCGCTGCTTTCAACGAAACGTCTCCAGTCATCCACAAAGCCAAGCTCGGCGGGAAACCTTGTAGGGCTAAACGTTCGCACGCCTCCATCCTCCGAAAAAAGTCTCTATCTTCATCTGGCTTGTGGTCTATTACACATCCAACCGACAAAATCCACAAGTACGCGTTGCGAGTTGTAAGCGTTGGCGCGTTGTTGATTGTGAGATGCCCTGTCTGTTTGTGGACTCTGTCGGGGCCTCGGTCCACTGACGCAACGGCGATGTCCGAGCGATTTAATTTGCCATCTAGGTACATTTCTTCAATAATCTTTTCATACGATAGTAGATTCGCCTTCATCGGCGCAGAAAGCACCGACCGATGGGTATTTGGAAGGAGAGCGAGCGCTGACTTCAATCCTCTGCTACCGAAAAGTGCGAGGGGTGGCGGCACGGAAACGCATAAACATTTCCTAAGCCCACGCAGGAAAATGCGTTTCCTTGTTTGTGGTAGAAGATATGGGGTTGCATCCAGAACGTCCACGCGAAATCCGCACACCCTCCGAGGCGAAGGCGTTGGCTTGGGCGACACCCGCTTTGGACAACGTAAGATGTAGGGGTCTGGCGTGGAACCGTCAGGTTGGGAAGTCGAACTCGGGCAGGGTGGTCCGAAGGGCGTCTAGTACTCTGCTCATGTAGTTGACGCGCCCATTCTGATTATGCATAATGCCCATCACGTTCTCTAAGGCGAAGCCCAAGAGCCCACAACCTTTGGCGAAGTATATGATCCACTGCAACACTCGAACGAAAACATTCGACCGTCTGTCGCCCTGCCCACCGCGCCCCCCCTGGGCCGACCAGGGAGGGCACGGTGGCCCAGCCACTAGAAAATCAACTCGGCCCCGTAAGGATGAAAGCGGAACGCGCATAAGATCCCCAGCGGTTTCGCCCAGATGCAACACAAAATTTGTCATGCCCATGCTCCTCAAGTGATGTCCCAGCACCTCGGCGTACCCAGGTTCTAAATCATAGATATGAACTGTGTTCGAGGGCACTCCCATCGCCTGCATGGCGCATCCGCAACCATGCATTCCAGTGCATGGAGCTGCGATCTCTAAACGACGCGTCAAGGAACCAATTTCTGGAAAGTGCGAACGCCAGTCTGGAAGCGATGGTGCGCTTTGTACGATGCGCTCTAATTGCGCAACCGAACTACCAGGTCGGGAACCCACGCCGGCACACGCGGAGGCGAGCATCGCCCACGCGACGAGCATGGTGAGTTTCATCATGCACGAAGAAAATTGCGAGTGCTTCTCTTGAGCATGCTACGTGATCACACGAACGCGTGATTATTTCTTTCACAAGAAACACTCACCCCCCTCCTTCTCCACTTGTCCCTCCCGCCCTCGCCCCCGCCCTTATCTCGAGATGGCGAGGCTCAGGGTGGGGCCAACCCCGCCCACTCACTTCCCCCCGAGATGAGGTTCGCCGAATTTTCAAAATAAGCTTCCACAGATGATCCCGAAGAGAGGTTTCTGAAGTCCCCCCTCCCCCCACACCCCTCACTCCGACAAACAAACATCCATGTCCTCGATCTTAGAATTTCCCAGCCCTGAGTCCCAGGCAGGGGGGATAGTAGTAGTAGTAGTAGTAGTAGTAGTAGTAGTAGTAGTAGTAGTAGTAGGGGGAGGTCGGGGTATGTGGGAAGTAATCATCTCACGCTGGCATCCCACATGCAGAGGCGAGCCTCCTGCGAGCCTCCTGCAGGGGCGAGCCTCCTGCGAGCCTCATGCAGAGGCGTGCGTCCCACGGGCCTCCTGCAGGGGCGAGCCTCCTGCGAGCCTCATGCAGAGGCGAGCCTCCTACGAGCCTCCTGCAGGGGCGAGCCTCCTGCGAGCCTCATGCAGAGGCGAGCCTCCTGCGAGCGGGCGTGGGGAACAAGGATGATGATCAGCAAGAGGAGGTGAAGAGGAGGAGGGGGGGGAGGAAGAGGAGGAGGAGGAGGAGGAGGAGGGTTCAGGAGGAGGCGGAGGCGGAGGGTTCATGAGGGTGCGGAGGAGCTGGAGGAGGAGGAGGAGGAGGAGGAGGAGGAGGAGGAGGAGGAGGGAGGGAGGAGGAGGAGGAGGAGGAGGAGGAGGAGGAAGGAGGAGGAGGAGGAGGGAGTCGGAGGAGGAGGGGGAGGAGGAGGAGGAGGAGGAGGAGGAGGAGGAGGAGGAAGAGGAGGAGGAAGAGGAGGAGGAGGAGGAGGAGGAGGGGGAGGAGGTGGAGGAGGAGGAAGAGGGGGATGGGGACGTGCGGGGAGAGGAGGAGGGGGCAGGGGGAGCAGGAGCAGGAGCAGGAGGAGGAGGAGGAGGAGGAGGAGGAGGAGGAGGATGACGGAGATGATTTTTGTTGCTGCATTACGCGCTGCTCGCTTCTTTGTCGCTGCAATCGGCCCACTACGTGCTATAGTAGGGCTTGGCTTGCCTAGCGCACGCAGGCCACCCCAGCCTGCGTCGTTGCTCACAGCCTGCGTCGTTGAGAGTTTTGCGCCTTCGCATCCCGCGCCCCTCACTCAGTAGGGATGTCGTCCGCGACGATGGCCTGCGCCATTCTCAACCAGGATGCTTTCCCGCCGTCAGACCCGCCGTTGAAAGAGAATGAACGATCCTTCAGCGCGCCCTTCCTCTGCACCCTCCACGCCGATTTCGCCATGTCGGTGTAGATTTTGAAGTCACCTACCACCTGCGGCTCCCTCCGCGAGCTCGGGATCCCACGGAAAGGCAATTTGATCCCAATCGCCGCTGGCCGCTTCCTCACCGGCGCGGCCTCCTCCTCCTCGTCCGTCTCGTCCATCTCCTCGTCCTCCTCCGAGGCCTCCTCCTCCTCTTCAGGTTCCTCCTCATCGGAACGGCTCTTCTTGGCTTTGGGCGCCGCCTTCGCAGCAGCCGCGGGGCGCTTCATCACCGTGCCGCCGCTCTTCTTCGATGTGAACTCAAGCATCGTCGCGGCCAAGTCCGCAGTGGTCTTGGGCTGCACCGCCTCCGCCGGCGCGGGCGACGGCTCCGCCCTCGCGCTCTCTGGGCTGGAAAGGTTGACCTGGACGGAAGCCGGGCTGTCACAGATCGCGGGCATCGACGGCGCGGCCCCACTGCTGGCGGGCCCGCTAAGCGCCAGCTGCAGGCCGCTGTCGACCATCAGCTTGTGCTTCGGGTTGAAGATCTGGAGACCTGGAACGCCGTCGCCACTCACAGGCTGCCGATGCTGAATAGCGGCGAGGACAGCGTTCGCCACGCCTTCGACGGTCAAGCCCGAGCACTTCACTTTGCCGACCCTCAGCGCGATGGACCCATGGCTCTTCCTTGCTGGCAGCTTCGCGCGCAAGGCGTCGATGGCAATCTCATCGATTGGCACGTTATTCACTGGCTGGTCGCCCTCTGTGTCCCCGTAGGCGAAGTCGTAGATGTCCTCGTGAACTCGCTTGAACTCAACCAGGGTCGCTGCGTAC